CGGGGCCTAACCCAGGCCAGGAGCTCCCGTGCCTTCACCTCTCACCACTGTTGCTGTTCCCCGTCCCAGTTCTGCTGCACTTTCCCCCCGCCCCCAGCACCCTTTGCCCTGGGAGAAGACGTGTTCTTTGTTGCTGTTTGAACCACAACTTCTGGAGGTCACTGCTGTAGGGGTGTCCCAGCTGGCACTGCCCCGAGGGATGTCCCTCTGCTGGCCCCAGGGGCTCTGGAGCTGTGCTTGCCCTGGGCTGGCTCAGGGGCAATGCTTGAGCTCCCTTGCCAGCCCCCCACCTCGGTGGATGCTGTCCCAGGGTTTTCCACTTGCAGGATTGCAGGAGGAGGTTCGGCCGCCTGCTTGGGTCCAGGGCAGGCTGGGGGGCTTGGGAACAAGCTGGCCTCAGCCAAAAGCTCCCCCAGCCTCTGCCAAGGCTGGGACTTGGTCTCTCCCAGCCCTGTGGAGTGTCGCTGGGCAGGGACAGGATGAGTCCCTGCTGCCTGGCTGCTCCCCAGCTTTGAGCAGAGCTGGGCAGGTCCTGGCAGGACCAGGCGCTCCCCCCACCCCACGGGGCTGAGCAGAGCTAAAGTTGCCTCAGTTTGTCCATCCTCAGACACGTGTCCAGAAGAGCTGGCCCCCAGAGATGGAGCAGGGCAGCAGCACGGGGAGCTGGACCTGTGCTGGCTCAGTTGTACACTGGAGTTGCAGAGAATGGTGATGATTAAATCATAACTGTTCTTGCTCCTGTCTCTGTCCTGCAGTGAGTGGGTCTGGCCCAGGCTGTGCCCATGGGGGTCAGAGCTGGGGCCAGGGAGGCTCTGCCAAGTGAGGCCAAACTTCCCTGGGCGTGGAGAAGCTGAGGAGCTGTCTGGGATGGGCTTGGGGGGAGCTGGGAGCTCTGGAGCATCCTTCCAGCTGTGGAGGGGTGATGGCAACTGTGGGAGAGCATCTCCCCACCCTGAGATCTGCCTCTGAGGGACATGCACTCTGCAGGTTTTCACTGTCTCCAATTAGGGGCAGTTTTTTATAGGCTCATTTGGGGTTCTGCAGGACCACAAGCACCAGAGGGCTGTGATCAGTGGCACAGAGTCCAGCTGGAGGCCTGTAGAGCTCAGTGCTCCTCAGGAGTTGGTGCTGGGTCCAGTCTTGTTCAATATATATTCATCAAGGACCTGAACAAAGGGATGGGGTGGAACCTCAGCACGTTTGCTGAGGACACAACTGGGAGGGGTGGCTGACACACCAGAGCTGTGCTGCTGTTCAGTGAGACCTGGAGGAGAGCTGGGTGGAGGGGACCAGAGCAAGTGGAGGGTCCTGCACCTGGGGAGAAATAATCCCCTGCAGCAGTCCAGGTGGGGGGTTGATCTTCTGGAAGGCAGCTCCACAGAGAAGGACGTGAGGGGTCCTGTTGGACACCAAGTTAACCCTGAGCCAGCAATGGGACCTTGTGGCCAATGGTGTCCTGGGGTGCATTAAAAAGTGACCAGCAGGTTGAAGGAGGCTCTCCTCCTGCTCTGCCCTGCCCTGGTGAGGCCACATCTGGAGTACTGAGTCCAGTTCTGGGCTCCCTGATTCAAGAGACAAGGAACTACTGGAGAAAGTCCAGCAGAGGCTGGGAAGATGCTGAGATGCCAAGGAAAGGCTGGGTACCCTGGGGCTGCTCAGCCTGGAGAAGAGAAGATTGAGAGGGGATTCAATCAATGCTGATCAAGAGCTAAAGAGCAGGGATCAAGAGGATGGGGCCAGACTCTTGTCATTGGTGCCCAGTGATAGGAGAAGGGGCAATGGACACAATCTAGAACACAAGAAGTTCCACCTAAACATAAGAAGAAACCTCTTTACTTTGAGGGAGATGGAGCACTGGCTGGCCAGAGAGGTGGTGGACTCTCCTCCAGAGACTTCCAAAATCTGCCTGGACATTATCTGGGGCACCCTGCTCCGGGTGACCCTGCTGGAGCCAGGGGGGTTGGCCGACATTTCTCCAAGGTTCCTTCCACCCCCCACCATGCTGGGTTCTCTTTTTTGGAGTCAACCCCCTCTCCAGCCCTCTTTCCAGTACAGAAAGGACAGCTCTGCATCATCTCCCAAGGGGTTTCCAAGCCATGGAGATGTGGTGCTGAGGGACACGGTTCAGTGGGGACCTGGCAGTGCTGGGTTAACATTTAGACTTAATGATCTTAAAGGTCTTTTCCAGCCTACATGCTCCCGTGGTTCTGTGTCCCTGTGGTGCATGTGCTGCTGCCTGCAGGGGCTGGGGCTGTGTGTGGGCTCTGGGTCTGCCTCCTGCCTGACCAAGGCACTGGATGCCCTTGCCAACCCTCCAGCTCCCCGTGTTCCCAGCCACCTTCACTCGCTCTCAGCCAGAAAACAGCAACTGAGCCTTTTATTTCTGGGTCTGCTGACCCAACTGAACCTTCCCTGTGTCTGTCTCAGGCACCTGGAAGGTGCTTTCTGCTAGTCCCAAAGGAAGAGGAGGGATGAGGCATTGGTGGGTACACTACAAGCCTGTCCCACAGCCTTGCTTGGGAGGTGGTGGGAGGAAGAGCCTGCAGATGACGCCACACTGAGTGGGAGTCTCTGCAGAGGGATCTGGACAGGCTGGATTGACAGGCCAAGGTCAGCTGTATGAGGTTTGACAAGGCCAAGCACCAGGTCCTGGACTTCACAGAATCACAGGATGTTAAGGGTTGAAAGGGATCTTGAAAGATAATCTTGTCCAACCCCCTGCTAGAGCAGCACTAACTAGAGCAGGTAACATAGGAATGCATCCAGGCAGGCTTTAAATGTCTTCAGAGCAGGAGACTCCACAACCCTTCTGGGCAGCCTGCTCCAGGCTCGGCCACCCTCGCAGTGAAAAAGTTTTTCCTTATCTTTCTGAGGAACCTCTTATGTTCAAGCTTGCACCCGTTGGCGCTTGTCCTGAACACCCCAGAGAAGAGCCTGGCTTCATCCTCCTGACACTCACCCTTGACATATTTATAGACACTTATGAGGTCACCCCTCAGCCTCTCCTGAGTCATCTTGGTGGCTCTGTGCTGGCCTCTCTCAAGCAGTTCCCTCTCCTCCTTGAAGTGAGGGGCCCAGAACAGAACCCAATATTGCAGGTGTGGTCTCACCAGGGGGAGGAGAACCTCTCTCAACCTACTGACTGCCCTTCTAAAACACCCAAGCAGGCCATTGCTCTTGGCCATGAGGGCTCATTGCTGGCTCGTGGGCATCCTGCCAGGTCCCTTTCCCTTATGCTCCTCTCAAACTGCTCAGTCCCCAACCTACACGGGTCCGTGGTGCTCTTTTTTTCCCAGATGCAAGACTCTACGCTTGCCCTTGTTGTATTTCATCAGATTTCTCCCTGCCCAGCTCTCCAGCCTGCCCAGGTCTCGCCGGATGGCAGCACGGCCTCCTGGGGTGTCAGCCACTCCTCCCAGCTCCGTGTCAGCGCACTCTGCTCCCTCAGCCAGGACACCCAGGAATATATTGACCCTTGGGTCACAACAGCCCTCAGCAGCACTCCAGGCTGGGGAAGGAGTGGCTGGAAAGCTGCCAGCAGAAAAGGCCCTGGGGGTGCTGGTGGGCAGCCAGCTGAACATGAGCCAGTGTGTGCCCAGGTGGCCAAGGAGGCCACCAGCATCCTGGCCTGGATCAGAAATGGTGTGACCCGGAGCAGGTCAGGGATCGTGCCCCTGGACTGGGCACTGGGGAGGCCACAGCTTGAGCACTGGGGGCAGGTCTGGGTGCCACAGGATCAGAAAGACCTTGAGGGGCTGGAGCAGGTCCAGAGAAGGGCAACGAAGCTGGGGAGGGGTCTGGGGAACATGATTGTGAGGAGCAGCTGAGGGACCTGGGGGTGTTTAGTCTGGAGAAGAGGAGGCTGAGGGGAGAACTTCTGGCTCTCTGCAGCTCCCTGAGAGGAGGCTGGAGTGAGGTGGGGGTTGGTCTCTTCTCCTAAGTAACTGGTGATAGGATGAGAGGAAATTGGCTGAAGTTGCACCAGGGGAGGTTTCAATTGCATATGAGGAAGAATTTCTTCACTGACAAGAGTGGTGAGGCCTTGGCCCAGGCTGCCCAGGGAGGTGCTGGAGTCCCCAGCCCTGGAAGGGTCCAAAAAACACATAGATGTGGCACTTGGGGAGAAGGTTTAGTGGTCATGGCAGTGTTGGGTTGGTGGTCGGGAAATGGTGGTTGGGCTTGATGATCTTAGAGGTCTTTTCCAACCTGAATGATTCCACGGTTCTGTCCTTGCAGTGACCATCTAAGCAGCCTTGTGCTCAACCCCCATGAGCAGCCCCAGGGCACGTGTGAGCAGGGGCTTCTTCCAAGGTGCAGAGCCTGGTTGTGTCCTGGCAGGGTGGTGACAAATTCTTTGTATCCTGACGCCCCTTCACACCCTGCATCCAGTCCTGCCCAGTGAAACGGGATTTCTGAACAGCCACCAAAGTGACATTTTTTTCCCCTGTTTGGGCAGACTACAGCGTTGGGGTTGCTTTTTTTCTCTGATATTTTCGAAAACACGGTTCTGTGGGAGGCAAGCACCTGGCAGAGCATTTCCAGCCTGGGGCCTGAGCAAGGATCTGCAGGCCACCACAGTCTTCATGCTCCTGGCCCGGCCATGGGGTCACCCTTCAGACAGGTCCTGGGAGCAGGATGAGGCTCAGGTAAGCAAGGATGTGGGCAAAGGGTGCTGCCTCCTGGTGCTGCTGCCAAACCTGTGGAAGGGGAACCAGGGGCCCATGAAAGGTTCAGGGCTGCACAAGGGAACAAGGGGGTGCCACCCAGCAGTCACAAGCCCATCTGAAAGCTCAGGTGGGTTATAGTGGGTAAACCACCAGACCTTTCCTCCGCACCAAGGACTCTGCCAGTGGGATGTCGGCCACAACCTGCCCAGACACAGGGAATGGGGGAGAGGCGAGCTCCAGTCAGTGCCACCCGAGGCCCCGCCGGTGGCCCGACGCCACAAGCGCTCGGT